GGTGGTGTTGCTAGCACTGGTGGCCAGCTGCAAATACGGATTAACATTAGCTGTAAAATTTGATAATTTGAGCAGAGACCATAATAAATCAATTGCTTACAGACTCATATCGAAACTCTATCCATGAGTGGCAAGTGAGTTGATGTACTTCAATTGTACAGCTGCATACGGTGGGAGGCTTTAAGTTAGGATCCGACACTTACTTTAGTCCACTCATGGCCTGCCCATTATTTTATTTACCACTTCTGTCCACGTTTTTACAGTGAGTTGCACAATTATTTCATTACAGATAACAATGTAATGATAAAAATAAAGCACACAATAAATGTTACACACTTGAATCATCCCAAAACCGTACTCCCCCCACCATGGAAAAACTGCTTCCACAAGACCAATGGAGACTGCTGATCTAAATCATTAATCCCATACTTTCTATGGAACATTCTCCATGGCTGTCAGGTTGTCAAGAGTGACAGAGATTACCTTAGCGAGATATGCTTACGGCTCTAATAGCATCATGCAGTTAGAACAAAAACAGCCTTCCCAAATATTCCCAACCAAAATGCCTTCCCCAGCACTTTTCCCAAGTATACCTGCCCAGTAACTGGCTCCAGCTGTTGCAATGTGGCCAGCACAAATACTGCTGTTTTCCCCATGCCTGACTTGGCCTGACACAGGACATCCATTCCCAGAATGGCCTGAGGGATGCACTCATGCTGGACTAAAAGGAAAAAAAAAAGAAATGAGACTTTAGTATCCAGATAACTCTACCTTTCTTACCACGCAAAACCCATTTCTCACCAATCAATTCTCAAAGTACGGTATTTACCTGGTTCTTGTGAACTTCCAGACCATTTCTATCTCTCTGCTCCCCCAATTACATTCACTGCAAAATTAGACTCTCCTAGTACCGTTCAGCTTTAGGCCTCCTCCAGATCCAGGACTGCCCAGTCGTGCTAACAACCACCTTGCATCTACCAACAGCTCAACTTCAGTGCTCCTAGTTCTGTCCTTATGTTCTTTCACCCATAACAATCCATGATATCTGAGTGCTTGCTGTACTAACCATTTTGTCAGTGGTTGCATGGTCACATAACCTTGGGTCACATAACCATGCAATGACTAACAAAATGAAGGATAGGCACCTGACCCAGAAGCCAGTCATTTTTAAACCAGTCATAGGAGGTTTTCAGAAACCAGAGTTGGCCTGGCCAAACAGAGTCCAACTAGGTCCTTTCTGGAATCTTAAAATTAGAAGTCAAATGACAAAATTAAAAACAGGCAGACAGCTGGGCTCGGTGGCTCAGCCTGTAATCCCGCGCCTTTGGGAGGCTGAGGTGAGTGGATTGCCTGAACCCGCGGGTTCGAGACCCGCCTGGGCAGCGAGACCTCATCTCTACAATAAATTAAAAAATCAGCCGGGTGTGGTAGCGCGCGCCTGTAGTTCCAGCTACTTGGAAGGCTGAGGCGGAAAGATCGCCAGAACCCAGCAGGTCGAGGCTGTGGTGGCCGGGAGCGGCCACTGCACTCCAGTCTGGGTGACAGAGTGAGACTCCAACTCAAAAAAAAAAAAAAAACAGGCAGACAAGAGAAAAGCCAGTCACAAGAATGAATGGCAGACCTGTAAGTTGCTTATCACAAATGAAAGAATAAGCCTACATAAAACTCCTCTTACCACTAAAATTATTTTCTGATACTTCCTTATTTCCTGATCTATTCTAAATATAAATCCTTACCACCTAAGGAACGACGAAACCATTTATTTCTTGTATCCTTAAAGAGCTTAATGAGGACTCTATGTTCAATAGAAAATTTACCTTCTGATGGATGCTCAAAGCCACAGTCAACAATGGCCCGGAGCAACTCTGGTTTGAGCAGGAAGTCACGAAAGCCAGAGCTGTGGATGGAGACATAGGAGCCCTTGACATCCTTTTTGGCAGGGGCCTCAGCCCCATCTCCCCCAGCTGCTGTTTCCACCTCATCGTCTTCATAGTCCAAAAGCTCATTGTCCACATCGTTCTCTGCCATAACTGGGCCGGCCAGGGGGGGAAAGGTAAGGGGGTCCTGAATGGGTTCTCCCAGAATAGGTGAAAACAAGGGGGAAGAGGGAGAGTTTGATGAACAACAAAAGATACTGGTTTCTGATAGAAGAGCTAGGGGGAAAAAAAATAGAAGACTAATCACTCATTAAGCAGAGACTTTACCACCTCTTTTCCATCCCCACACTGTTCCCACTTTCCCTAAATTAACAAACGTTTATCTGGAAAGAAAAGAGAGATACAAAACATAAAACCGAAAAGCAAATATAACAAAATAGAAAAAGCAGTCCCAGGGCAACTGGTTAGGACACACATTCCCAACAAGATTAGCATCAGAGCACCAGAAAGTTGGAAGGGGAAAAACTTATAAATTCCTGATCTGTATGTAACTATAGCGAACAGAAAAAAACTGATAATGAAAAGACCATGACTAATGACCTAGGGGAGTGGAACATGGAGATAAAGACAGTTCTGAAAAATCTTCAAAGGAAGATCCACGGTGTGGGTCCCCAATTCAACAGCCATCAGTCAAGGGTGATAGATTAAGGTCAGCACTGCGCAAGGCGCTCACTTTTCAAGATGAAAACATCATGCGGCTGCCGTCCACCTCCCACAGCTCTCAGCTTCATACTCTTCAGTGCCCTCCCGCCTTCCGTTGCTTAAGAAATCCCAGTGCAATTAATGCTGGGGTGGAGAGTGTTAAAACAGGAAATGGCTCGGTCCCAAAAAAAAAAAAAAAAAAATTCCACCTCTCCACCTTACAATGGTTGAGAAAACGCATTGTAAGTAAAGGGGGAAAAAAGAGGCATTCCCCCGCTATTAGATTACTAAATAATCTCACATCACTTGCACCATTCAGGTGAGACTACTTTTTGAGAAACACACAATTACACCACTCGTAAACACTTGGAAAGCGCCCCAAATAAGGTCGGGCAAGTCGAGGAGAGAGTAGTCCAACTGGGTCCAGAAACCGGCTCCTCCTCTGCCTAATCCCACCGCGAGCCGAGAAAGCGATCTGGGAGCGAAGGTGAGAAGAGCCCCGCCCTCTGCAAATGCCCAGGACCAAGGAACGGCTAGCGCCGCCTCTCGTTGACGCCGGGGCCTTCGTTATGCGAGGGATCAACTAGAAGAGCAGGGAGCAAAGGGAGCACAATGGCGCCAGAGACACCATCTTGGATTGGACCCCCCCACCCCGGCTTCCCCTACTCCCCCAGGGAGCTCTTTGCTCTCGAAAGGGATGCAAACCACGGAAATAAGGACCTAACTAGGCCCCAGCGACCAGAACACCGTCTACGAAAGGGGTATCAGGAGTCCATGTGATAAGATGGGTAAGGAGACGCGCAGATGGAAACGGATAGCAGCGAAGGCCGAAGCTTACCTAGGCAGGGCGAGCGCGTATGGCGGCAGCAACAGCGACGAAGGAGGGAATCTGCCTTCACTTCCGGTTCCCGGCCTCCCGCCTTCTCGACTGCCAGAGCGCAGGCGCAAAGGGCCGGAAGCGGGACCTTCCGCCGTTCTACAAAGCCGCGCGCTCCGGGAATTGCCTTTGGAAAGTGCCTGTCTGAAATTTTTTAAAAACCACTTCTAACTTCTCCGCTACAGCCAGTATCGAGAAGCATAAATGAAACTAATACCTCCTCCCACCGTATCTTTCTTGTTTTGTCCTACTCTTCTCCACGCCCCTCACGTCTTCGTTTAGGTTTTTGCCACTCAGGCCTTTTCTCTAGGCACCCCTCCACGGACGGGCGAGGAACGACGGTGGCAGGGGCTGAGTTCCCACGGGGTCCTTGGCTCGGTAGTCAAGGTGACCTGCGAGCCCAGGGGCTCGCGCTAGGAAACAGCGGGCAGAGCTGAGGGGAGGGAGGAGGCAAGTCTCTGGGAACGAAAGTGAGCTGAGCTCAAGGATCCTGTCCTGACCCTTTCCCAGCCGTGGGGACGGCGGGCGGCATTTACCCTAAATGTTGCTGGCCGAGGTTGCTGATGCCCTTGGACCAGTGTGAGTGAGGAAAGTGAATCTGAATCCACCGAGTGGGAGACGGGGGTCTGGATTCTGCCCCAAGTGTTAAAATAGAAAGATCCCACCGCTGCCACCAAAATAGATAGATAGAAAGAAGGGCTTGAGGGTCATACAGCATTCAATAAATACTGTTAATTCGAGCAGAATGTTTTTAGCCCCACCCCATTGTTAAGCCTGGATATTTTTTTTCCTGAATGAAATATTTGACTTACCCCTCTTTGAGATGCTGCAGAAGTCAGACGTGATGCCCTGCTGCTTAATAAAAATGACAAACATGGCAGGAAAAGTCTTGGAAAAATAATAATATAATAATACAGCTAGTGAGATGACAGCCAGGATGTAAACACCTCTAATTCTCTATTGAACCCTACCTCCCTGCATAAAGAATCTGGTTAATAAACACACTAAGGATTACCTCATTGGTTCAAGTCCTTGGTGAAGCAAGCTTGTCTTCGGTAGCAAAGAGAAATAACTGTTTCAACGATGGTGTCACAGAAGGGCTGTTTTCCTAACCCTAAGCATCCTTTAATTTATTCAACAGTATTTATCGATTGCCTACCCTGTGTCAACTGGTATCCCAGGATCTGGGGACACAGCAGGGAACAGCCCTGTCCCCACAGAGGTTTACGTAACAGGAAACAGCACATAAAGACAAATACAATGTCAAGTAGCAATAAGTGCTATGAGGAACAACATAGCAAGGCAAGGGGACAAGGACTACTGTACTTGTTCCTACACTCCACCTTTTCTATACAGTTGCCATCTATAATCCTCAGGTTCCCAAATGAGGAACCTCATGTTTCTCACTTTAGAGAAATAATAAAGTATTGCTTGCTCTTGTTTCTCCAGCATGTTTCAAATGATAGCTGTTTGGGCTGTTCGGGTAATATGTAAACAAAGAACAAGAGAGTGACTGAAAATGAGAAATAATGAGGCAAAAGAAGGCTGCTTCAACTCACCAATTTATTTGCCCATAATTATTTTATTGATACTTTTTTATTGTTACAAAGGGAAAGTAAGATGCCAAGGACGTGGAAAGGAAGGCCATGCATATGAGGGGATACTGCATCACTTTAGATCTTAGGAAGCAGTGGGCAACTGACGGGTCTTTGGGAAAATAGGAAAAAAGGAAAATCCAATAAAGATCAGTATAAGAGAAACAAAAAGAGGGGCTACAAGATGAAGTATCTATCTGGAATTATAATAGAGGGGCTATGTGAGATCATCATTTTATCTTTTAAGGGATTATAAGATCTCTGGGAAAAGAGATGGAGGAAGAACCAATTCTTCAGAGAATTACTAGCACAGAATGAATAACTGGAATTAGAGAGCCACGGATGGAAGTTAGGAAACAGCTATATACATTTTGGCCAATGAGCATGGAGTAGTAATAATATCACAGGGTTTCCCTTTATTGAATCACAGCTACTACATTGTAGGAACCATGCTAGGCTCTTTACAGAATGATTCCTAATCATTACAGCAACCTCTCACATGGCAGGCATTATTATTATTTCAGTTTCACAGAGGACATTGAGGCTACCATGCTAAGTAGCTTGTCCTGGTTGCACAGCCAGCAAGTGGCAGGGTCAGGAGAGGGACCAAAATCTGCCAGCCTCTGAAGTCAAGGTACCTTCCATGTCCCTACTTTCTCATGTTACAAAATTCACAGAAGTTTTGGGTGAGAATGACTTGGGAGTTTAGGAGGGCCTAGTGAGGCTTCAAGAACAACAAAGAGATTCAGGTTTGAGCAGGATATTTATAAGTTTCATAGGACAATTATTGGATCCTGCCTCCCAGTATTTCCAGGGACTAAAAAGGAGAAAAGGATGATAGTAGGAGGTGATTTCGGCTGAAGGGTTTCTTTGAGGAAGGGAACCAGCAGAAGGAGTCAGGCCCTACAGTGGGTCCTAGGCAGCAATCCGGTAGTTGGGGTGAACCTGGGGCCTGACGTTGCAAACCATGCCAAGAAGCTGGGCCAGGACACGCTCTCGGTTTCTCTGTTGGGAGCTCTGCATACCCTGCACCTGGCGCCTTGTAGCCTGCTCCACCTCAGCAGACAGGTTCCCCTGGGAGCCCATGGCCTGGGGGGTGGGGAAAGGGTGAAAGAGAGAAAAGAAAAAGAGGAAACAGAGAGACAAGCGTCCAGGCATGTGGAGGGAAAGATCCTGGAGCAGAGCCTAGAAGAAAAGCCCCTCTCATAAACTACCCCCATCCCCAGACTATCCAGGCACCAAAGTGATCAACACAATCCCCTTTCCTCTTAGACCTGACATGCAACTTCAACCTAAAACAGTGCAAAATTCCCACCATCTCACCACCCATGACCATAAAACTCTGCCTTCCACCTCAAACATTATATTCCACATAAACGTTAAAATACTTTACACAGACTGTGGCAATTCCCTCCCTGCTACAAGGCTTTACTAATGTTGTAGTTCCTGCCAGAGTCCCCTTATTCTTCTACAGCCTTATTTTCTTTTTTTAATTAATTTTTTTTTTAGTCAGTCTCACTCTGTTGCCCAGGCTGGAGGGTGCTGGCATGCTCACAGCCACCGAAGCCTCAACCTGCTGAGCTCAGAGGATCCTTCTGACTCAGTCTCCCAAGTAGCTGGAAATACAGGCACACACCACAACGCCCAGCTAATTTTTTAAAATTTATTTATTGTAGGGACGAGGTCTCACTAAGTTGCCCAGGCTGGTCTCAAACCCCTGAACTCAGGCAATCCACTCGCCTTCACCTCCCAAAGTGCTGGGATTACAGGTGTGAGCCACCACCTCCGGCTACAGCCTTATTTTCTTGTTGAGTCACATATACACACCTCAACAGACACACACACCAACTTGCACCAGGGGTCCCATCCTAACTTCCCCACAACTCACCGCCTGCTGCTTGCTCTGGAATTCCTGCTCTCGCTCTCTGCGGTATTGCTCCACCTCCATCTGTGCCTCCTCTTTTGCCTGCTTCAGTCGTCGGGCCTTCCCTGGAGGTAGAAGAAAGGACAGTGGGTGGGAGTGGAACCCACCAAAAACCGTGGTAGTAAGGGTCAGTTCCTTCTAGAAAGTTATTCTGGCCTCTCTCAGCCAACCAGGTGCTAGATTCTAATGCCCACCCATTTCTTCCCTCCTAACCTGCCTCCAGCCCTCAGCTCTCTCTCTTTCTCTCTCTCTGCACCAGCCTTAGGTTTTCCTAAGGCCTCAAATGTTTGCTGTCCTAAACTCCAAATTTTCTTTCCAGACTCCTAGGGGAGGAAAGAGGAGACTCACTCTTTCTGGCATCTGCCACCTTCTCAGCCGCCCGCTTCTCAGCTTGCAGAAGCTGCTGGATACCCTGGGACTGACTGGCCATTTCTCTTGTTATGGCCGATGCAGTTTCGAATGCTACCCAGGTACCAGATGGCTCCCACCCCCACCGCCTACTTCTCCTGGTCCTCCAGCTCGTTACTGCAGTCCTTCACTACTCCTGGGTCTTAGTGCTCCCCTTTTCACACAGCCTTCTGCACCGGGTTTCTCCCCCAATCTGATCCTCTCATTGATGACTGGTCCTCTTCTCCCTCCTTGTATTCAGGCAGTACCCAAAGGGGCCGCCTGGGAGCAGCAGAGACCAGATCAAAAATGCCGGCTAACAACAGGTGCAGTCTTTCCAGTCGGAAAGGTCTAGGGATGAGGCGGAGCAAGAGGGAAAGAGCATTGGAGTGGGAGGGGAACTTGATTGATGGTTTCAGAGAAGGAGGCATAGGGGTTGATAATGGGGGTGAAAGGTAAGGGTGTCATCATGCAGCGTGTGCCGGGAAGAGAGCATTCTTGGCTTCACTTAATTTCTCTCTCTCTCCCCCCCTCCCTCGCTCCCTCTCCCTTCTCTCCCAACTCCAACCCCAACCCCCGTTTCCACCTCCATCTTTTTCTACATGTTTCTCAAATCCAAATTTCTGCATCCATTTCACTTGCCCTGTCCTACGATAATTTCATGTTTTTTAGTCTGTTTTTTAAAGGAGTTTATTAAGCAACTAAGCTCTCTAGAAAAAGAGAGGAGGGGGCCGAAATGGGTAAACCCCTGTATTTTTTTTTTAATCTTTTTTGATCCGTCCCTGTTCTTGGCCTCACTGTGGTTTTTGTTTTACATTCCATTTTCATTGTGCTCTTTATCCTGTCTTTATGTCCGCTGTTTTCTCTCTCTCGTCTTTTCGTCCACCGCTGAACCACCTCCTCTTATCGCCTAGTTAGGGAAGACGAGAATAAACCTCCAAACAACCCTTTTTTCTCCCTGCCCTCCCCTTGCCTCCTTTTCCTACCCTCTCGTTCAGACTTCCGGTTTCAGGCGGACCTTTTTTCTTAAGTGCCCTAGGTTTCCCCCGGTGGCCGACCGAGAAACGACCCTGTCGGGGCGGAACAACTTCCGGTAATGTACCTTACAGTTCATTTCCGCCCTTCAGTTGCCTCTCTGTTTGCGCCATTTCCGGCAGCTTGGAGTGTCTCCGCCCTACCCGCCTCCCTTCTCCGAGCGTCTTAAACACAGGCCTCCGGCCTACAGCTCTGGGGGTACTTGGGGGGGCGGGGGCAGGTCTAATGAGTAACCCCTCCCCCCAGATCCCAGAGGGAGAAGCCTCTACATCTGTCTGCCGGGTACATTATATTCAATTTCTAGATCATTATTTGAAATTATCTGTGACTTTTATAAACTCAATATTCTGCTGATAAAAATTTTCCCCATCAGGCCCTGTTGGGTTGTTTTTTGTAAAGATCTTTATTAAAAATTTTAAAAATTTTACCTGGGCTCATGAGCCTTAAAGCAATTATTTTTCCTTTTCTCAAATTTTACATTAAAAAAATTAAATCTATGACCGCAGCTCCCCTTCAAATCTATCATCTGGTAAGGCATCAGGCTTAGAATAGGCCTCATCTCTTGCTGAAGACATTAGAAGGAAGGAGAGATCAAAGGGAGAAACGAGAGAATGTGAGAGATGGAGGAAGCACCAGCCAAGGCTGGGGTCCTGACTGCTGCCTTTTTTGTCCTTCTTCCTCAGCCCAAGAGTTCCATGGCCTCCACTTCCCGCCGCCAACGCAGAGAGCGTCGCTTCCGTCGTTATTTGTCTGCAGGTCGGCTGGTCCGGGCCCAAGCCCTCCTCCAGAGACACCCAGGCCTTGATGTAGATGCTGGGCAGCCCCCACCACTGCACCGGGCCTGTGCCCGCCACGATGCCCCTGCCCTGTGCCTGCTGCTTCGGCTGGGGGCTGACCCTGCCCACCAGGACCGCCATGGGGACACAGCGCTGCATGCTGCTGCCCGCCAGGGCCCAGATGGTGAGTCTGCCCAGTGGGAAACAAGTTCATGAGCAGCTGGCCAGATCTGAAATGAAAGCCAACCTATAGTTGAGAAATAAACTAGTTATTCCATCACTTGGATCTAGGGAAGGAATTAGCCAAGTTGGAATAGCTGTCATTTGTGCCTTTACATTACTGAGCTATTATTGTCTAAAGAACCCAACATTCCCGAAACAGCAACTGGTCTTCAAATTTCACATCTGCCTAGATTAGTAGCTATTTTGTTTCTTGACTGGTTGTTTGCCTGTATTGCAAAAAGTAGCATAGAAGGTAGGCTCTGGAATTGGATTGCCTGGGTTCAAATCCCAACTCCACATTTAATAGCTGTGTATTCTTGGGCAAGTTAATAAATTTCCCTGAGGCTTGGTTTGCCCATGTGAGGAATTAAACAAAATAATAACAGCCCCTAGCCAGGCTCGGTGGCTCAGCCTGTAATCCCGCGCCTTGGGAGGCTGAGGTGAGTGGATTGCCTGAGCCCGCAGGTTCGAGACCCGCCTGGGTAACTTGGCAAGACCTCATCTCTACAATAAATCAAAAAATTAGCCGGGCGTCATAGCGTGCGCCAGTAGTTCCAGTGACTTGGAAGGCTGAGGCAGAAGGATTGCTGGAGCCCAGCAGGTCAAGGCTGCGGTGGCCAGGAGCATGCCACTGCACTCCAGTCTGGGTGACAGAGTGAGACTCCAACTCAAAAAATAAATAAATAAATAACAGCCCTTATACTTCTCACAAAGTAACTCACTTAATTCTCACAACAATCTTATGAGGTAAATAGTGATATTATTCCCCATTTCCCAGGTGAGGAAACAGGGCATGGAGAAGTTAAGTCATTTGCCAAAGTTACACAGCTAACTTTGAGCAGAGAACCTAAACAGCCTAGCTAGCGTGTCCATGCTCTTAAGAACATTGTCTTGTGTTATGCAGTATAGTTATACAGTAATTGTGCCCATATTTAGAGTACCCATGCTGTGACGTAAATGTTTTGAGAATCAACATCTGGCACGAAGTCAGCACTTGGTAGATGCTGGCAATTGTTAGTTCCTATTGTTGTTATTAACAGGTCCCTACTCCCTTACTCTCAATTCAACTCAAAAACACTCTGAGAACCAAACATTTTTCATCATTCTTACCACCAAAACTCATTTGGTGACACAATCCTAGCCTGAACTATAAAGTGAGGCTTTCTGGGTTGTTTTTATCCTCCAGATGGCAATATTCATATATTTCACTGCAGAAACATTCATGTGTTTGGTTATTGGAGCTGCCCAGGTTGGTTATTGGGGCTGCCCAAGCCCTCCTGGACTGCCTAATATACAGTCAGTGTACTTTTGGATAAGTTCTATCAAATCCTCAAAACATCTGAGCTCTGAAAACCCTTTGAAACTGAAGGATTTGATGTGGAACTTGTTGTTATTATAGTGACAGTGGAAGCAGCTCTGTAGATGTATAAACCTCTTTACTAAAATAAAAGATAAAACCTTCTTTCCCATTCGAGATTTCCTTTTAGACTAAGAACATTAGAGGAAAACCTCTAGGTGGGATGAACAACCCTAACTCAGTTTGTTTGCTGCTATTACCATGCTCCAGCTCCCCAAGTACACAGAAAGTCCCTCTCCCCCAAAAATCCTTCTCCATATTATGGTTAGAAATCTCTGTTGGTGTCTTTGTTATTTTGTTTGTTTTTGAAGAAACACAGTCTCGCTATGTTGCCCAGACTGGTTTCAAACTCCTGGGCTCAAGCAATCCACTTGCCTTAGCCTCCCAAAGTGCTGGGGTTATAAGCATGATCTTGTAATTGCGCCTGGCTGGAAATCGCTGTTTTTTAAAATTTTCCCTTAACGTACCTCAGATGGGCTGGCATATTCTTTTTTTTTTTTTTTTTTAACTTAAAGAGTAGGCTTACCAAGTGTAGGCATCTGACTCAACAACTGATGTAAAAGGCAGGGGCCAGAAATCAAAAGAGCAGAGTACCCTGAGGCAGAGCCTGCATCCAAACCCCATGAGCCTAATTTGCCTCTCGAAAATGAGAGCTGTGACCAGTAAATGAAGCAAGCATTTGGTGCAGTTTTAACACTCACTAAGTGATACGTTATTTTTATTTTCTATTTTTTTGAGTTGGAGTCTCATTCTGTTGCCCAGGCTGGAGTGCAGTGGCCGCTCCCGGCCACCGCAGCCTCGACCTGCTGGGCTCCGGCGATCCTTCCGCCTCAGCCTTCCGAGTAGCCGGAATTACAGGCGCGCGCTACCACGCCCGGCTAATTTTTTTATTTTATTGTAGAGATGAGGTCTCGCCTGTCAGACAATCCACTCACCTCAGCCTCCCAAAGGTGCGGGATTACAGGTTGAGCCACTGAGCCTGGCTATTTTTATTTTTATATTACCCAATTAAGACTTTTTTGAGTAGTAAAAATGCCCCTGATAGTGTGGAAGGTATTTCCTTGCATAGAATTCACATGCATAGAATTCTAAGCATGTGAGATTGGTATCGTCCCATGTACAGATGAGAAAAGCAGACCCAGAGATTCAGGAACTTGTTTGAAATCTCACAGCTGGTGGGGAGCAGTGGCTCATGCCTATAATTCTACCACTTTGGGAGGCCAAGATGAGAGGATTGCCTGAACTCACGGGTTCGCGACCAACCCGGGCAACTTGGCGAGACTGCATCTCTGTGATAAATCAAAAAATTAGCCAGACGTGGTGGCACATGCCTGTAGTTCCAGCTAAATGGAAGGCTGAGGTGGAAGGATTGCCTGAGCCCAGCAGGCTGAGGCTGCGGTGGCCGTGAGTGTGCCACTGCCCTCCAGCCTAGGCAATAGAGTGAGACTCCAACTCAAAAAAAAAAAAAAAGAAATCTCACAGCTGTCAGGTCATTGTCTTCCAAAGGAAGACCCTCACTCAATTCTTTACTTGGTGTCTTCTCAGGCCTTTTTTCCCCCCGACTGGTCCCCTGCCAGCCCTGCCACCAGGTGGCCTTCTAACTCCTTGATAAAAAGGCCCATCTCATTCAGCTTCGAGCTTCTTTAGACTACCCTGCCTTAGTAAAATAAAAGTATCTTAGTAAAATCAAAGAAGTTTGAACAGATTAAATGACCCATAATTCCCTTTTGGGTGTTTTTACCTCCAGTTCTCATGTTAGTTCTGAAGGATATGCCAGTTCATGTTGGAGTAGCTGGGCTGCGTTAATACTCAATGAGAAACCATGAATGGCCCCTGCTTTTTTTTGGCGGGGTGGGAGGAGGGGTTGGAGTCTCATTCCATCGCCCAGACTGGAGTGCAGTGGCACCCTCCCGGCCACCGCAGCCTGGACCTGCTGGG